ATAAAGCATATATTTCAAAACTTACACTTTAATGCATTTTCCCGACGTTTTGGTGTGTACCGCAAAGAATTATGGGCAATATCCTTCGCCAGAATGTGCATAGATGCAGGCTACAGCGAAGTGTGGATTAGGGGCGCAAAGGGGGCGGGGCCAAAGACCTCCCTGGAGGATTGGGACACCGTACGCACTCACATCATCGAGAACGCGCAAATGAGGGGTGCAAGGGTGGAAGTGCGAGTATTGAGTATTAAGAGACATTGTCTCTTTTGGGTCTAGTTTCACCATCAAATTAAGGGATAAAGCCCCCATAAACGTAACGGCGTAACCCACACCCTGGTGTCCTGACTTCATTTTAAAAATGTTTTTTATTTGGTGGTCCTGCTAGTAAACACCAAAGTTATGTCAGGTCCAATTTAAAACCTAGCACAAGCAGAGGTTTTAAATAGAAAATTACATAAGTATCTAATATCTAATTTAATAAAAAGAGTGGATGAAATGTTGCAAAAGTACAATGGCCCCAGGGTATGGTTGAGATGCACCCAGTCTCTCTGCGCCGCTCCAGTTATTCTGTGCCTCCATGTAGTGCCCTCACCACTGCTGAGGAGAGTGCAGTATTAGTGCTAGCACAACCCCGACCCAGCCATGGACATTAACGCCAGGTTAGAGAAGGGTAAACGCCCCTTCACTTGTCTTGAATGGGCACAAAGTAGTAGCACTTGGATGTCCGGACTGGTCACCCCATGTCTCTGTCCTTTGGCATCCTCTATGGCCTGGATCTGGCTGGTCCTCTGTCCATGCTTCACTCCAATTTTCCTGTCTTCCCTTTCTGTGTTCCGTTCCCGATCCTCTGTTTCAGTCCCTCTGTCTGTTTTTAAAGGGGGAAACTAGTCCTATTCTACCCCATCAGTACAATCAATCAATCATAGAGAAAGGGCTGTCAATCAAGACTGTCCAAGGCTTGTCATTAGTCAAATAACGAATATAGAAAGATTCTGAATGTTAGTCTTTTCTAGTCCAGTGTCAAACAATACATGTACATAAACTGATTGTACTTAATAGAGTTAACACAACCAATGCAAGCATTTGTTTTCTGAAAAATCTGTTGGGGCTATGGATAAGCGAACCACACATTGCACTATAAAGTGAAGTCAATCTGCCCACCACTCATCTCTATAATAAATACCATAAAATCATTGTTTAAAGGTCTTGCAGCGTGGTGACTCACCAGCCCCCCCCACTCAGCCCGTACCCAGCCCATTTATTCTTTCATGTTTGGAGGAACAATATCCTGTTTCTAATGCCACTATTAGGCGGAACGTCCCCTGCAGGCCACCCCCTCCTCTGATATATGAGGTGCCGGATACAGTCACCATGCAGACAAGCAGGGTATGTTTCTGATTGGAAGGGTGAAAATTCTTCTGGCACAGCTTTCCTCCACTGTTTTGGAAAGGCAGTTTTACAGAGCCGATGATAGAATGCTTCAAAATGAATAACGATTAGTGCTTTAGCATTTACAGACACTAAGGGCATGGTTAGCCAGGTTTTTACAAGTGAATTGGGCCAAGTGGCCCGGATCGTCGCCACAGGGGTGTCAAAACGGCCCGCGGTCACATGAACGTGTATTTGCAAACGTGCCAGAGTAACTAAGCTGTAGTACAACACTCAGTCCAGCTGGTGGCGCTAATACTAACTCAAGCGACTACCTCGTTGTCCTGTTTGGGTTTCTATTTCTCTTTCTGTTTACGCTCTGCTACTGTTGCGCTAACAGCTCAGTACGGATCTCGTTGTTTAGGGAAAGACACATCTCACACTTGTCCACATTGCTCTGATGCAAATTGCAGCGGTAACATGTGTGTGCATGTGTGCACACGCCTCAGACACAAGTGCACACACACACACTCTTTAGTAACAAGCGTAAGAGCGCTGGGAAATGAATGAAAGAATGAAAAGTGTGGAGTATGAGCAGAGTGACCGTTGCCATGCTGGATACAAGTGTGTGTGTGTGTGTGTGTGTTGGTGTGTTCTTTTTTTGAATACTTTATTGCGTCTTTGCTCACATCTCAACACGATCAAGGCAAAGTTCCAAAAACCATATTAGACACTTTTTATTTTATTTTTTTCACCCATTGTGCCAAACAAGAAAAATAAAATAAAATTTACAGATATATACACATATGCATATTCATACGCACACATATATACTACACACACACACTTATACATGCACACTCTACACACACCTACACCTGCTCACACACACACACACATACATACACATTTCACAGTAAACCAGAAAAAAAGGATATATATATATATACATATATATATATATATACATACATGTATATACATATATATATATATACATATATACACATACATACACACACACACACACACATACATACATACATACATACATATACATACACACACACACACATATATATATATATATATACATAACACATACATATATAAATAAATAATTAAAATTAAAAATTAAAACAAAAAAAATTAAAACAAAAAACTTCCCTCTGTCTATGTTATGATTTGGGTAAAGGCTGACCACCTCGATTTGAAAATTTCACTTTTACCTTTCACTTTGTACAACCTTTCTTCATTTCTGTAGAATTGTTTTATCGAATCTATAACATTTTCAAAGCGAGGTGGTTCAGAACTCTTCCAAAGTCTTGATATTTGCTTCAACGCCAAACATCGTAACATCCAAAATAAATAATGGTTTTCTTTTTTCAAATTCTTGGGTTGAAACCCTAGCAAGAGATTTTATTTTTCTATTGTTATTTCTTTGCCACATACAGTGCCTTGCGAAAGTATTCGCAAGGCACTGTATCTCAACACTTGTATGTCAACAAGTCTTGAACCTTTCAACATTTCGCCACATTTCCGGCTTCAAACATAAAGATATAAAATTTTAATTATTTGTCATGAATCAGAAACAAGTGGGACACAATCGTGAAGTGGAACGAAATGTATTGGATAATTTAAACTTTTTTAACAAATAAAAAACTGAATAGTGGGGCGTGCAATATTATTCGGCCCCTTTACTTTCAGTGCAGCAAACTCACTCCAGAAGTTCAGTGAGGATCTTTGAATGATCCAATGTTGTCCTAAATGACTGATGATGATAAATAGAATGCACCTGTGTGTAATCAAGTCTCCGTATAAATGCACCTGCTCTTTGATAGTCTCAGGGTTCTGTTTAAAGCGCAGAGAGAACCATGAAGACAAAGGAACACACCAGGCAGGTCCGAGATACTGTTGTGGAGAATTTTAAAGCTGGATTTGGATACAAAAAGATTTCCCAAGCTTTAAACATCTCAAGGAGCACTGTGCAAGCAATTATATTGAAATGGAAGGAGTATCAGACCACTGCAAATCTACCAAGACCCGGCCGTCCCTCCAAACTTTCATCTCAAACAAGGAGAAGACTGATCAGAGATGCAGCCAAGAGGCCCATGATCACTCTGGATGAACTGCAGATAACTACAGCTGAGGTGGGGATGGTGTGTTCAGGGTGATGAGTTGTGTTGCTTTTACGCCAAACATATCGTTTTGCATTGTGGCCAAAGAGTTCGATTTTGGTTTCATCTGACCAGAGCACCTTCTTCCACATGTTTGGTGTGTCTCCTAGGTGGCTTGTGGCAAACTTTAAACAAGAATTTTTATGGATATCTTTGAGAAATGGCTTTCTTCTTGCTACTCTTCCATAAAGGCCAGTGCACGACTGATTGTTGTCCTATGGACAGACTCTCCCACCTCAGCTGTAGTTATCTGCAGTTCATCCAGAGTGATCATGGGCCTCTTGGCTGCATCTCTGATCAGTCTTCTCCTTGTTTGAGATGAAAGTTTGGAGGAACGGCCGGGTCTTGGTAGATTGGCAGTGGTCTGATACTCCTTCCATTTCAATATAATTGCTTGCACAGTGCTCCTTGAGATGTTTAAAGTTTGGGAAATCTTTTTGTATCCAAATCCGGCTTTAAACTTGTCCACAACAGTATCTCGGACCTGCCTGGTGTGTTCCTTTGTCTTCATGGTTCTCTCTGCGCTTTAAACAGAACCCTGAGACTCAAAGAGCAGGTGCATTTATACGGAGACTTGATTACACACAGGTGCATTCTATTTATCATCATCAGTCATTTAGGACAACATTGGATCATTCAAAGATCCTCACTGAACTTCTGGACTGAGTTTGCTGCACTGAAAGTAAAGGGGCCGAATAATATTGCACGCCCCACTTTTCAGTTTTTTATTTGTTAAAAAAGTTTAAATTATCCAATAAATTTCGTTCCACTTCACGATTGTGTCCCACTTTTTGTTGATTCATGACAAAAAATTGTATAAATATTAGTCAGTCCTTGATTCCACTCCTCAGCTTTTACTTTGCTTTCCATGTCCTTTTCCCAGGAATTTTTAAGATTGTTTTCGTAGTTATTGTTATTAATCAAGATTCTATAAATCTCTCCTATACATGTTTTAAATGTCAAATTATCATAATTTTTAAAAATATATTGAATTATCGAGTGAGGATTTTGAAAAGCTGATTCGTAATCTTTAACATAGCTACGGACTTGGAGAAATCTAAAAAAGTGTGATGTAGGCAAATTGTAATTTTTTCTTAAGTTCTCAAACGAGTCCATAGCTTGTTTACTAAATAGTTTGTGGAACCTGGTAAGTCCTCTTGTCTTCCATATTTTAAAGGAATCATCTAAACGATTGGGAGCAAAATCTGGGTCGGACGATATTTCTCTCAGGCAAATGGTGTCCTTTGATTTTATCCTTAACATTTGAATGATTCTTTGCCCGATTTTAAAAGTATTTAAGGTAGTGTAAGTATGATGTTCTATTTTAATTGCCCTTTGCCCTGAGAAAATGTGGGAACTCAGTGAGTCCACCAAATCCATTTCTATAATTTTCCATTTAGGATTACTTTTACTATTCATCCATGTCATGATACATTTTACTTGTGCAGCATCATCTCATCTTCGCCTGTGGTCCCGTTTGGGACATAGGCCGCCGACCAGCTTCCTCCAGGCATCTCGGTTCTGGGCGAGTCTCTCCAGCTGCCCCCACGTCTTTCCCATCTGCTTGACATCTGCGTCCAGGTCTCGGCGCCAGGTGTTTCTAGGTCGCCCTCTCTTCCTCTTTCCTTGAGGATTCCAGGTGAGAGATTGTCTAGTTATACTGGACGCGGACTTGCAGAGGGTGTGACCTATCCATCGCCAGCGTCTCTGAAGGATAGCTTCGTCAACGGGCTGCTGGTTCGTTTTCGTCCATAATTCTTCATTGGATATCTTTTCTGGCCATCGGATTTTGAGGATCTTCCTGAGGCAGGAGTTAATGAAGACCTGGATTCTCTTTATGGTGACCACAGTGGTTCTCCAGGTCTCTGCTCCATAGAGGAGTATTGGCTTCACGATGGTATTGAAGAGCCTGATCTTGGTGGTGATGCTAATTGTGCTGGATCCCCAGATATTCTTCAGCTGTTGGAAGGCTGTTCGCGCTTTACCGATGCGGGTTCTGACATCTTCATCCGTTCCCCCATATTTATCCAGGATGCTGCCGAGATATGTAAAGCTGTCTACCTCCTCCAGCGCCTCGCCTTGGACTGTGATTGGTGTGTTGTTGGATGCATTGATCTTAAACCCCTTGCTCTTCCCTCTGTTGATGTGGAGGCCCAGTCTAGCGGAGTTGTTTGCTACCCTGCTGGTCTTTTCCTGCATCTGTTGATGGGTGTGGGAGAGAAGGGCCAAATCGTCAGCAAAGTCTAGATCATCTAACTGTTCCCAGAGTGTCCACTGGATTCCATTTCGCATCTGGTTCGTCGACGTCTTCATTACCCAGTCTATGGCCAGCAAGAATAGGCAAGGTGAGAGTAAGCAGCCTTGCCTCACTCCGGTTCTCACTCCAAAGGCGTCAGTGAGCTGTCTGCCATGGACGATTCTACTGGTCATCCCTTCGTAAGATTTCCTGATGATGTTGGTGATCTTTTCTGGCACACCGTAGTGTCTCAGTAGTTTCCATAGGGATTGCCGGTCCACGCTGTCGAACGCTTTTTCGTAGTCGATGAAGTTGACGTACATGGGCGAATTCCATTCCAAGGATTGTTCCAGAATGATGCGCAGGGTTGCGATCTGGTCCGTGCACGATCTCTCTTTTCGGAAGCCGGCTTGTTGGTCACGGAGATGCGGGTCCACTGCGTCTTTCATTCGGTTCAGCAGGATGCGGTTAAACACTTTTCCTGGTATGGACAACAGCGTTATTCCCCTGTAGTTGGAGCAGAACTGAGGTCACCTTTCTTTGGGAGCTTGATGAGATATCCCTCTTTCCACTCTGCTGGTATCTCTTCTTCTTCCCATATCTTGATGAAGAGCGGGTAGAATAGCTCTACACAAGTATCGACGTCAGCCTTCAGCGCTTCTGCCGGTATGCTGTCGGGACCTGCAGACTTGCCGTTCTTCAATTGCTTGATGGCGCTGTGTATTTCTTCCTTCGTGGGTGCGTAGCACTTGATCGGAAGATCACTAGTGGCTGGCAGTATCTCCGGTGGGTTCTCAGGAGCTGGCCTGTTCAGTAGCTCCTGGAAGTGCTCGATCCACCTCTTTTTCTGCCCTTCGTCATCGGCTATCGTTCCTCCGTTCTTGTCCCTTACTGGTCTCTCCGGTTTGGCAAACTTTCCTGTGATTCTCTTGCTGATGGAATACAGATCCTTGGTTCTGTGATGGAGAGCTGCCTCCTCTGCCTCTGTTGCCAGTGCCTCTAAGTAGTTACGCTTGTCTGTTCTAATACTTCTTTTGACGTTCCTATTTGCTTCTGCGTACTCTTCTTGTGCTTTTGCCTTTGTTGCTCTTGTTTTGCTGTTGTTAACATTTTCTTTCTTTTTTCTTCTTTCTTTAACTCTCTGCAGCGTCTCTGTTGATATCCACTCCTTGTGTGTGTAGGACTTGGGGCCCAGTACTTCTTGGCATGTTGATGTCACTGCTACTTTTACTTTCTGCCACTTTTGCTCTGTCGTCTCTTCTCCAAGCAGTTCCCCTAAGGCCTGAAACTTGTTGGAGAGAGTGACCTTGAACTCTTCTTGCTTCCTGGTGTCTTTCAGTGCGGCAGTATTGTATCGCTGGCGTTGGCTGAGCCCCCCTGTCCAACTCTTCTTCAGTTTCAGTTTCAATCGGGCGACAAGTAGATGATGGTCAGAAGCAACATCTGCTCCTCTCTTGACACGTACATCCTGAAGAGAGCGACGAAACTTCCTCCCAATGCATATGTGGTCTATCTGGTTCTTTGTTGACATGTCTGGTGACACCCAAGTTACCTTGTGTATCTTTCTGTGGTGGAAAACACTTCCTCCGATGACCAGGTTACTTGCGGCGCACAGGTCGGCGAATCTCTCACCGTTTTCGTTCATCTCACCTAGCCCTTGTTTCCCCATGGTCTCCTCATATCCTCGGTTATCACTGCCGATCTTGGCATTGAAGTCTCCCATTAGAATTATGATATTTCTCCTTGGTCTGTCTTGTATGATGGTTGACAACCTGTTGTAGAAGTTGTCCTTCTCCTCTTCCTCACTGTCGTTCGTCGGGGCGTAGCATTGGATTATGTCCACGTTCATCCTCTTCTTACTTGTATGGAAAGAGGCTGTCATGATCCGTGGTCCGTGCGCCTCCCACCCGACGAGTGCTCTCTGTGCTGTCTTGGAAAGCATCAGGGCTACTCCCTGGGTGTGTGCTGCGTCTTCATGTTCATGCCCCGAGAACAGCAGTAGCTCTCCGGAAGACATTCGCTTCTGCCCAGAACCAGTCCATCTTGATTCACTGATTCCTAAGATGGTGAGGTTAAACCTCCTCATCTCTGCAGCCACTTGTACTGTCTCGTACATGGTTCGAACATTCCATGTACCGATGGTAGTAGTGGTCCTGGTGGAGATGATGGTTTTCGACCTGACGGCTTCCAGTTGGTTCTGGCTTTCACCGCCAAGCGTCATGCATCCTCCAGCTGGAGGTCCATCTTCTTCCAGGTCCGTGATGTCTGGTATTGTGCTGTTTGGCGTTTTTGTAGCAATGTGTTTTTTTACAGGGTAGGGTAGCTAAACCTACGCCCAACCCCCTTTTTCAGCCGGGCTTGGGACCGTCCTTGGCGGAGTTACTTGTGCAGCAAAATAATATAAAAGAAGGTTGGTCAGACCGAGTCCCCCCTGATCCTTGGGTTGTTGAAATAGTTTGAATTTGACTCTGGGTTTCTTTTCATCCCAAATAAATCTTCTTATCATGTCTTCCCACACTCTGAAACAGGGATTAGAAATATACAAAGGTAAGTTCTGGAATAGAAATAAAAAGCGTGGTAATACATTCATTTGATTGATTTTTACTTTTTCAAATAGTGTGAGTGGTAAAATTTTCCATCTTGCAAAATCTTGTTTTAACGAATTTTTGAGTACTTTAAAGTTGCATTCATATAAATCTTTCAAGTTTTTTGTAATTGAGATTCCGAGGTATTTAACTTTTTCCTGACCCCATTTTAGTTTGAACCTGTTTTTAAAATGTAGTTTGAGGTTGTTGCCTAATTCTAGAACTTCAGTTTTGTTTGGATTTAGTTTATAGCCAGAAACGTCACTATATTTTTGTATTTCATCGAAGAGTTCAGGAAGGGAGTTTTGCACATCTGTTACATAAACCATTACGTCATCCGCATATGATGAGAGTTTGTGTTTGTTATCCTTTATGTTAACACCTTTGATTTTGTCATTAGACCTTATACTCTCAGCCAAAGGCTCAATGCATAGAGCAAAAATTTGAGGTGACAACGGGTCGCCTTGTTTTGTCCCTCTTTTTAACTGGAAAAATTCAGATAATGAACCATTTGCTCTCACTCCGGCCCTTGATTCTGTGTACATTCCTTTCATTAATTGAATAAATGTTTCGTTAAAGCCGTATTTTCCAAGAACTGCAAACAGGAAGGGCCAAGAAACTCGTTCAAACGTGTTCAGCGTCCAATATCACCCCAATCATTTGTTGTTGTGTATTATTGCAGTAGTCTATAATATTGAGAGTGCGTCGCACATTATCACTCAGGAGTTCTATTTTTTATAAATCCTGTTTGAAAGTGACTGCCTGTCCATCTATTTGTCCAGTCAGGAAGATGTACCTTCCTTCTTTATCCCGGACACACTTATCTTTAGAAAAGCACTCGGATGATCCTGGGAGCTATGCTGTCTGGGGCTTCATGCCCCTGGTAGGGTCTCCCATGGCAGACAGGTCTCAAGTGACGAGTCAGACGAAGCGCAGTCCGAAGCCAACCATGGACAGCACGACAATGAGAACCGTGAAGTCGCCCGGCATGGCGCAGCCGGGGCCCCACCCTGGAGCCAGGCCTGGGGTCGGGGCTCGCAAGCGAGCGCCTGGTGGCCGGGCCTAAAGCCTAGTGTATACTTGCGCGGCGTGGCTTACGTTAGCGGTTGCGGTGGACCTACGTAAGCACAATTGATGTTATACTGGCGCGTTCCCCTTACGGAGTTTTGAGGAGAATGTTGTAATCCCACAACAAACCACATGAGGGCGATCACACAGGAGCGGTCCCATTTACGCTGCTACTTTGTCCTCTTCAGAACAACAATAGCAAACAAAGCTGTTTGAGCTCATTACGTGTTTCTACTGTAGGTTTATGTGATAGTTTTATGGATTCATTATTTTATAAGTCATTTCAACTGTGATACTGTGAATAAAGACACAGTTCTTGTTGGAAACATAGTTATTATTAAATAGTTTTCAGCACAAACAGCAAAACAATAATAGTGGTAAATATCGGAGACAAACATGAACGATTTACGAGTGCAGGAGGAAAGCAACAAACGCAGCTACGGTTCAAACAAAGACAGGAACAGTGCAAAACAAACGACCGCACAGTTTATAAGTTATATATATGTTAGATAGTCCACAGTCTCCTGTATATCAGGCTCTGAGCCCAAACTGGTTTTCCTTCGAAGCGTGAAGCAGTCTGCTCCATAGTGCCTCGTCCATGTCCCTGCTGCAGCCGCTCCTTCCAATACACACACACGGACCAATCACAGCAGAGATTCCTTGCGGCGACCCTTACGTAGTTAGAACATTTCGATGCTGCGCGGCAGGCGACGTAAGGGCCTTGCGGTGACCAACGCGTTGCGCAAGTGACGTCACGTCACCTCCGTAAGCTCCGCGCCGCGCGAGTATAAACTACGCTTTAGCCCACGTGGCCCGGCCGGGCTCAGCCCGAAGGGATGACGTGGGCAGTCCCTCCTGTGGGCCCACCACCTGCAGAGGGGTCCGTGGTGGCGAGGTGCAGAGAGGACTGGGCAGCAGTCGAAGGCGGAGACCTCGACGACCCAGTCCACACACCCAACATCTGGCTCTTGGGACCTGGAACGTCACCTCACTGGGGGGGAAGGAGCCCGAGCTTGTGGGGGAGGTTGAGCGATACCGACTAGAGATAGTCGGCCTCACCTCCACACACAGCTTGGGCTCTGGAACCCAACTCCTTGAGAGGGGTTGGACGCTCCACTTTTCTGGTGTTTCCCGCGGGGAGAGGCGGCGAGCTGGGGTGGCCATACTCATTGCCCCCCATCTCAGCCGCCACGTGTTGGAGTTCTCCCCGGTGAATGAGAGGGTCGCGTCCCTCCGCCTCCGGGTGGGGGACAAGTCTCTCACTGTTGTGACAGCCTACGGGCCTAACGGTAGTGCAGAGTACCCGGCCTTCTTGGAGTCCTTGGGAGGGGTACTGGACAGTGCACCGCCCGGGGACTCCGTTATTCTCCTGGGGGACTTCAACATGTGGGAAATGCCAGCGACACTTGGAGAGGGGTGATCGGGAAGAACGGCCCCCCTGATCTGAACCCGAGCGGTGTTCAGTTGTTGGACTTCTGTGCCAGTCACGGCCTGTCCATCACGAACACCATGTTCGAGCACAAGGGTGTCCATCAGTGCACGTGGCACCAGGACACCCTAGGCCGGAGGTCGATGATCGACTTTGTAGTCGTATCATCTGACCTTCGACCGCGTGTCTCGGACACTCGGGTGAAGAGAGGGGCGGAGCTGTCAACCGATCATCACCTGGTCGTGAGTTGGATCCGCTGGCAGGGCAGGAGGCCGGTCAGACCTGGCAGGCCCAAGCGTGTAGTGAGGGTTTGCTGGGAACGTCTTGCTGAGCCCCCTGTCAGACGGACTTTCAACTCACACCTCCGGGAGAGCTTCTCCCAGGTCCCGGCAGAGGAGGGGGACATCGAGTCCGAGTGGACCATGTTCTCTTCCTCTATCGCCAATGCGGCGGCTCGTAGCTGTGGTCGCAAGGTCTCTGGTGCTAGTCCCGGCGGCAATCCCCGAATCCGGTGGTGGACACCGGCAGTAAGGGATGCCGTCAGGCTGAAGAAGGAGTCCTATCGAGCAATGATGGTTCGTGGGACTCCTGAGGCAGCTGTCCAGTACCGGCAGGCCAAACGTGCCGCGGCCCGGGCTGTTGCAGAGGCAAAAACCCTTGACTGGGAGGAGTTCGGAGAGTCCATGGAGCATGACTATCGGTCGGCCTCGAAGAGGTTCTGGCAAACCGTCCGGCGCCTCAGGAGGGGGAAGCAGTTCTTTGCCAACACCGTGTATGGTGCGGGTGAAGGGCTGCTGACCTCGACTGGGGATATTGTCGGGCGGTGGAAGGAATACTTCGAGGTTCTCCTCAATCCCCCTGTCACGTCCTCCGTCCAGGAGGCAGAGGCTGAGGATGTTGGGGCGGATACTTCCATCTCCCTGGCCGAGGTCACCAGGGTGGTTGGCAGCCTCCATGGTGGCAAGGCGCCGGGAGTGGATGAGATCCGTCCTGACTATCTAAAGTCTCTGGATGTTGTAGGACTGTCTTGGCTGACACGTCTCTGCAGCATCGCGTGGCGATCGGGGGTGGTGCCAATGGAGTGGCAGACCGGGGTGGTGGTCCCTCTCTACAAGAAGGGGGGCCGGAGGGTGTGTTCCAATTATCGGAGAGGAGGCTACGTCCGATGGTCGAATCTCGGATTCAGGAGGAGCAGTGTGGTTTTCGTCCCGGTCGCGGAACACTGGACCAGCTCTATACTCTCCATCGGATACTCGAGGGTTCATGGGAGTTCGCCCAACCTGTCCACATGTGCTTTGTGGATTTGGAGAAGGCGTTCGACCGTGTTCCCGGGGTGTCCTTTGGGGGGTCCTCCGGGAGTACGGGGTCCGGGGTCCTCTGCTGAGGGCTGTTCGGTCCCTGTATGACCGGAGCCAGAGCTGTGTTCGCATTGCCGGCAGTAAGTCAGACCTGTTCCCGGTGCATGTTGGCCTCCGCCAAGGCTGCCCTTTGTCACCGGTTCTGTTCACTGTATTTATGGACAGAATCTCTAGGCGCAGCCAGGGGCCGGAGGGGGTCCGGTTCGGGAACCACAGGATTTCATCTCTACTTTTTGCGGATGATGTCGTCCTGCTGGCTCCAACGAACCAGGACCTGCAACATGCACTGGGACGGTTTGCAGCCGAGTGCGAAGCGGCTGGGATGAGAATCAGCACCTCCAAATCCGAGGCCATGGTGCTCGACCGGAAAAAGGTGCCTTGCCCTCTTCAGGTGGGTGGAGAGGTCCTTCCTCAAGTGGAGGAGTTCAAGTATCTCGGGGTCTTGTTCACGAGTGAGGGGAGGATGGAGCGTGAGATTGACAGGCGGATCGGTGCAGCGTGCGCAGTGATGCGGTCTCTGTATCGGACCGTTGTGTTAAAGAGGGAGCTGAGCCGAAAGGCGAAGCTCTCGATTTACCGGTCAATCTTCGTTCCCTCCCTCACCTATGGTCATGAGCTGTGGGTAATGACCGAAAGAACGAGATCGCGGATACAAGCGGTCGAAATGAGCTTCCTCCGCAGAGTGGCTGGGCGCTCCCTCAGAGATAGGGTGAGGAGCTCGGTCACACGGGAGGAGCTCGGAGTAGAGCCGCTGCTTCTCCACGTCGAGAGGAACCAGTTG